TGAGAATGTGTCCGAATTATGCAAGATTAACAAGTGACATTCCAAAACTTACGAAGAACTGCAGCAGGAATTGGGTACGTCTAGTTTAATGAAAAGAAGGGTCTGTATTGTTGCATTTTGGGGGGATTTATTTATTTTCTATCCCGCCTTTTGTATTTTTGCAAATAAGTCAGGAGGGCGAACATATCCAATTCATCTCCCCGCTCCTTTTCCTCCTCAACAACAACCCTGTGAGGAAAGTTGGGAGGAGAAAGAGAGAGAGAGGAAGAAGGATTTCCCATCCTTCTTCCAGCACACCTGTTTAAACTGAAAGAGACAGGTAAGAGTCCTTGGGTGGTGATAACCTTCCTTCCTTCCTTCCTTCCTTCCTTCCTTCCTTCCTTCCTCCCTTCCCCTATCATTCCTTCCATCTTCCTTCTTTCTTTCTCACTTTCTCTCTCTCCTTTCTCTCCTGCTTTTTCTCTTTCTCTTTCTCTCTTACTTTCTCTTTCCCTCTTTCTCTCATTTCTCTGTTGCTTTTTTGTTCTGTCTCTGTCTGTCTTACACTTTCTTTATCTCTATCTCTTACTCTTTCTTTCTTCCTTTTTCTTTCTCTCTCTTTCTCCCTTTCTGTGTTTTTCTCTTTGTTATCCCCTCTTTACTTTCTCCCTCTCTCTCTCTCTGTCTGTCTCTGTCTCTCTGTCTCTGCCTCTCTCTCTCTCTGTCTCTCTCTCTGTCTCTCTGTCTCTCTCTCTGTCTCTCTCTGTCTCTGCATTGAACAAGCCATGTTATTGTTTCGGGGTTTGTTTTGTTTTTTAAAAAAAGCACAACAGGCTGGCTAGAGTGAATCCAAGCAGTTCAAATTGCTTTTATTAGCTTTATCAGGCCAAATCGATAATGCCCACCGTGCTATGAGCCACATGACATCTTTGCACAATCCAGATAATTGATCAATTACCGTCTGCCATCTTTCTCTTCAGGGTGTGGAGGGAGGGTCCCCATCTTTCCCCCACCACCACCTCAACCCCAAATTAGATGACGCCAGGAAAGCAAACAAAATGGAAATATCCTTTGAGCCAAAACCTTGAGGCAGTTCATGATTTCATGGGCTTCTCCGTGGGATTCCTGAGGAAAAAGGTCAGAACTGGGCTATTTGTCAACAATGCAGCCCCAGCTTGGCTTTCCTAGTGGCACCCCATCCATCCGGACTCCACCTTAGGTGCTGCTCCCTGCTCTCTGGAGGTGAACTGGACTTGGGGGGTTGGGGGAGCAGATTTCATGAACCTACCAAAATCATTTACCTTTTTCAGGTGGATGCTTCCCCTGGCTGAGCCTCTGGATCTCCTGGTGGCCTCCCATCCAGCTCCCATTTGGCGCTCCAGATCGGCAATGCTCCTTGCAAGCAAGCCAAGGATCCTGGCAGCCCCTCTTTGTCCGTCTGTCTGTACGCAGGTGTCTCTGTTGTGGGTGTGGCTGCCTGTTGTGCAACACCCAGACCTGCCAGGGTGATCCGTTCTCAGGGAGGGCGCTGTCCGCCACCGTCCCTGGGCAGAGGGAGGCGTGACTGAAAGGAAGGGCTTCCCAAGTAGGCTGCCTTCCCTCGGAGGCTCCTTGTGATGACACAGCCCCGCCCTCTCCAGCACAAGCCCATCCATCAATCAATCCACAATAGAGCTGGAAGGGACCTTCGAGGACTTCTAGTCCAGCCCCTGTTCGAGCAGGAGACCCTCCCCCACTTCAGACAAAGTGCCTGTCTCTTTTTTT